GGAAATCATACAGGTTTTAAAAACTTACAAATGGGTTATACCGAAATTTTTACTATTTGCCATCAGGAATAGCATATCTACTGTCGAGAGGATCATATAAACTTTAAACACACAATAATCCTAGAAGAGACTAATAATTTTCATTTATATGTTAGGTACTCTACTCAAGTATTTTATTCCGTATTGTTAGATGACAGATTTCATTGTTTATTGAAATCCACATTTGGTATGATTGATACAACAGCAATAACAAAGATATTTATCTCTAATGTAAATCTTAAATTACAATTCAAGGTATTCCAGCTTCATTATACTATAGTTGAAAGCCATCCAGAGAGCAACTAATAATTACAATGGTAAATACCTATTATAATAATCATACAAGATTACCTATTTTAATAAAGCAAACTCATGTAGTTAAAAAAAAATTACAAACCATTAACAAACTTTCTAGTTTGACTGCACGGATGGCGTAGTGGTTTAAGCGGTCACCTCGCCGTTATGTTATGCTATGCTCTGTGTTATGGTTTCGATCCCCACAGGGGACAACATTTTGAATGATCAACAAATCTTATTCTGAGTCTGGATAATCTTTTAATAAATATTTGTTAAGTCCATAGCCGGGGAACCAGGTATACCCTAGAAAGGAAGTCCCTGGTGCCCCGAAATACCTCGGGTCATCTACAGACAGAGTAGACGACCCCCCCCCCCCCCCCCCCCCCCCCCCCCCCCCCCCGAGAAGGAGACGGCAGAGTTCCACGCACTCTCGCTCCGCACGATAGCCGCAATCAGGCTATCGAGCGAGAGAACTCCCACTCCGATAGCCGCCACGAGGTATCGCCTCTGCTCAACCCACGCCGGGCACTCTGCCAACGTGTGGAGAGCCATGTCCACGGTCTGGCCATCGCAGTGGTTGCACTCTGGCGTTGGCTCCTTGCGTATCAGACACAGGTGATCCCCGAAACATCCTTTCCCAGTGATCACCTGCGTCAGTCGGTATGAGAGGGTCCCGTGACGCCTCTCGGGCCAATCCTGCATAACGGTTGTAAAGTCCCCTGCGACACGCGACAAGCATTTATTCCTAGTACGGGAATTGTCTTTAAAAAAAAAACCAATGAAGCTTTTTTTTTTTAACGTGAATGTCGAAATATTTTTTTTGGGATTTCACAAAAACCTAAGTTTACCTGGGATAAAAGCTTTTAACGTGTGCGAAATTTGATTTAAATCTATTAAGTCGTTTTTGCGTGATTGGGCAAAAAATCACATATTTCCAAAAGTTTTTCTAATAGAGTTTTTCTAAAATATTTAGAGCTTTTTTATATATAGGTATAGTCTACCATATTTATTATTAGGAGCCGCAATATAAATGTATAAAACGAATTCAAAACGGTTTTCTAAATGATATCTTAGTAAATGTCAGAATTTACATATATTTTAATTCTGCCACCTGACTACTTCAATGTAGTTAATTGGATCACAGACTAGCAATTAAGCTATGAACACTTTTTGCATCGATATCCGCCTCTTAGTCATACCCTTTTTCTATTTTTAATTAACTAAAAATATGGTATATTCTCGATTCGTTTTAATGTACTTTATTCAACTCAACGATTTATTCCGACCATGAATTCTGATGGCAATTATTTACTGTGTTAGAAAAATGTCTGCCTCGTGTTGATACGGCATTGCTGATTCTGGTCTGAGCTTATGTTTAATCATTCGTTAAGCAAATTTGTCTAATTGAAAGAGTTAAGCTTTCTCCTATTAAAGCCTTAACTATAAACAGAAACTCTTTTCAGAGTTATATGTACATACGACCAAAGAAAATTCCAGAAGAAAATTCCAGTCTTGTGTCGAAATGTAGTCTCACAGATAGCATGTTGCATAGACTCTTATTTTATATCTGGGGTTCTATTCAACACAAAAATATGTTCTAAAAATTAAAAGAAAATATCGCAGAAGTAAAGTCACTTTTACAATTGCCCGCTGAAACACTCGTATCTGTCATATGAGTTTCTGTTAATGGAATACGTTACTAACCCATAAACTAACAGTGTGATACAGTAATATTAGGTAATGTTGTCAAACCAACTTACAGTTGACAGCTTGTTAATCGTTTTATTTGGTAATGTGTTTGGTATTGGCATTGGCTCCATGAAAATGCGAGCAATGTATATAATGTCATTAATTTTAACATTAAGCACAATTATAGTTTAATAGCTCTGTGATGTAGTTTATGGGTTGGTAGATGTCATACCAGATTTTACTAACTAGAAGGGTATCTATTGTAGACAAGACTAAAATTTAAAGAGAATTGCCATCATAAGGATCAAAGCAAAGGTTTTACACACACACACACACATATATATATATATATATATATATATATATATATATATATATATGTATATATATATATATATATATATCTACATATTTATGGTTAACCTTGCTGACGAAGTATTTTTTTATACTATTCAAATAGAATATCTATAAACGAACCTTTTTTTAAAACTTTAAACTCTCTGACTTAGGAAATTTTCCAATAATCATCAAAAACATTTTTCTTCAGTTTATTTTTATGTTTAACAAGCAAGGGCTACTTTTGCATTGAAAGCCACCCAGTTTCAGAGTTAAGACAATTGAAGGAATGTAAATTCTACAGAGATCGTATTTCGTTTCTACCCATCCAAAAATTTAGCTGGGAAAGGTCGGACTACGGCATAATCCACTCTTTATGTCTAAAGCATTTTTTAAATTACGGGTGTACAAAATGTCTAAAAAATGTACTTTTATTTTGTTTTACCAAGACACCAAATAAAATTATAGATAAACGTAGCCTGAGAGTAATATCAAAATAAGGTTATAGGAATCAGCTACAGTCAATTCTTGGTTTTATATTTTCACAAATTTATTTATAAAGGTCAAATGAAATATTACAGATATAATTAAATATATTAGAGTCAAGATTTTTTTTTTGGTTGAATTATTTATTTCCAAAAAGATTGTTGGCAAAGAAAACTTACTTAGGTCTTAAAAGTATTATATTTATCTCAATTATATGACGTTATGCTAAACTGTGATTTCATGTACATTTCTAACTCTACACGCCTTAACACTGAAAGCTGTTGTGGCTTGGCCGTTTCATTACTACAAGAACTATTGTTTAACAGAAAAGTAGTGAACAGGAAATATATTGTTCACCTTACGCCCATGTGACGGTAGCGAAACCGCCAAGTCACATATTTTTACTAAAGTGTAGAGTTTGTAAAGTTAAGCTTGTAGAGTTATCAGATTATAAAAATTAAAATTGTCGGTTTGTTCGTTTTAAGCACCACTACTTTTTCACGAAGTTGTTTTTTTTTGCTTTTTTTTTCAACAATTAGCTTGATATGTATTAAAGAGACGGAGATACACAACTACACTATGCAAGTGAATAGCATTATTTATTCAAGCAATCATGTCAATCAGTCAATCATCAAAAACGAAAAGTAATGCGACGTGCAAACATTCGACATAGTCACGGCAAGTCGCTTACCATCTCGTAACACCTCGGCACGTTTGCCCACTCTTCCAAATTCCAATCAAAAAAAAAGTGCAGGCTACAGGATTTGAGTTCTTCAATAGTTCTTAATTATACTGTACTGTACTACTACACTGTCGGAATTAATTTAAAGCATTTGCAATTTTTTACTAAACTAAACTTGTTTTATTTTTATAAAATGATGGTAATACAAAACATTTTTGTTCATTTAATTGCAGTAAATAAAATCCAGAGGTAATATAATACTTATATCTTGCTTTCCTGCTTCATTTTCTTTATAAATTATGTTTATGGTATAAGCATCATATACTTGATGTAATTTATTAAGTTGATTTTTATTTACTTATGGTTTGCTTACAGTTGTAACATGTTACTTAATGTAAAAAATTACATGGGCTAGAATTTAGACTAATTTAAAACCACTTTCAAGAAAACACAACATGTACATAGTGCTAAAAAAGTGAAAACAGGAAAACATCTTCATAATATAATATATATATTTAATTTAAATATTTAAGCATACGAACGGGAATCAAAGCCATCACGCCACAAGCACCACACACCCCGGACTGCCCGACACCCTCAACAAGCCGCGCCGGCCATGGTCGCAGGCTGACACATAGCCAATACAAGCCGGCCGCACCGTCAGACAGATGCATGCCAAATTGTAATAAATAAGGGAAGACTTTTGATTTGATTTGCTTAATAGCGGTGTTCTGTAAGCCCTAAAGGCGTATTTTCGTAATAAAAGTTATTTCTTATAAATAGAACTTATTTCTTCAAACCAGAGAACTCGTAACTCATTTCAAAATTTTAAAAAAAAAAGTGATGAGCAAAAACTGTACTTTTCAACTTGTGGTACTTTTGGTGGTATTTTTCAATATGTACCTTTAAATTGAATATAGAAATGTAATCAAAAAGGTGAGTTTGAGAGTGAACGAATCATGCTAGAGAATTGAGAACACTTACGTTCCTCACATTAAATGGCAAAGATCAACAGTGTTTTTAATAAATAACATCAAAATGTTACAATTCAAGTTCAAACTTTGTATAATAAACAAATGAAATTTGACAAAATCGAATTAGATGACCAAACCAGTAGAACTGTCGCTGTGTTCTCAATCTTAAAAATAAAAAAAGCAGCCAGCAGGTGTCAAACTACAACTGTCGCAAATAAAAAAATGGAGAGTTTTATTGTTTCAATAATCATTAAAGTATATGAAACCTAAAGCTTATAGAGCATGTAACATTTTGTTAACACCAAAGGACCGTAGAAAGTTCGGTGACTTACAACTTATCCCATAAATGTTTTAAGCTAAGGGCAGATTAAAATAATTGGTTGATTGAAATGTATTTATTTAAAATATATATAATGTATACATGTATATTTTAAAAAAAGGTCCAGTGACAATCATTGGGGGTCATGTTGAGTTCATGCGGTTATAGAGTTTACTGTTTATTTTACGTAGTAAGGAGCAGCGACGGCGGGTACAGCGGCATAGGGGTAAGCTCCATTGTATGTCGAGTACACAGAAGGTACGATACCAGATGGGTACACGTAGTCAACTCCAGAGGTGTAAGCAAATACTTGAGGCTTAGGATTGGGAGCTGCGAAAGCTACTGCCAGCAGAGCAAAGAGGGCAAACTGTAAAAGAAATAACATTATAAATAACCAAAACACTGTTTTGAAAAACTTAAGTTAGAAGAATGAAATTTATATTAGAATATTACGGATTATAACTCTTACATTATTCCATCACCTAGTAGCCTTCTAAGTACAAATTAATTTAGTAGAAGGTTCAGCAAAACAAATATTTTACTTAAATTACGATTCATTTTACCAGTAAAAACGACATCGATATCTACAAAGAAATCGTTATAAAAGGTATTTGAACTTGTTATTTTTGTCAGTCAAAGATCCCGGAATAAAAGGCTCCAATTTCACACCCATTAATAAATACAACGAATATTATGAAGTATTTTTCTAGAACGGGGTTGGTGAAAGACCTTTTCGTTGGTGTCAGTAACTTGAGCTTTAAAATTAATTTTAAAGGGAAAGATTTCTGAAATTATTCCAAAGACAAATTTGTCTTATATGAAAATAAATAAAACTTAAATAGACTACTTACGATTTTAGCGAACATGTTGATTGAGTGATGCTGTATGCTGAATCGTGTGGAGCTTTGGTACCATGAGCTTATATAACAAAATATTAGCCTTGATCTTTATTGTACAGATCTACTTTGTTAATATGACAGTTTGTCATACCTACGACGTATGCTCAGGTCGATGATCGCTTTCAATAGATCACATTTCCTGAGTCTCCATGTAAGGAGCTTCTATTATAATAATAAGTCTCATAAATAAACCCTTTATTGTGCGTGCTGATATCTTAGGGCATTTAAACTACGAAGTCCAAGTATGCCAAAAAATAATAAAGCTAGATGCTGTATGTTTTATTCATATGAAGATAATGTGCTGTGGTTATTAGAGTATAAACAAAGGCAGCCTAATTGGTAATGTAGAGCGCGTCCTGTACGTTTGTCTGTGCTTATAATTTACATTGTTTCAAACTGAGATTCATTTGTATTAAATTTCCGTTACTGTTCATAAAATCAAGGACGGGGACAATGTTGCCATTTATTTTACGTAAACTACTACCACCACTATTAAAAAATATATATTTTATAATGCAAATACTTAATCTGGCATAAAAATGCTAGACATTTATCAACAGCTCTTCAATAATTGTATTTCATAAGTGATATTTATTTTATAGGCGCATTCTTGTCATTGTAAATAATATGTTTACTGCTATTGAAGTAGCCTTCGTTAATGATGTTCAGGATGAAATCTACTTTTTTCGTCTTAAAATCTAAATTTTTAGTTCTTAAATATTTTCACATTGTTAAAAGATTATAATATTTTATATTAATTAATAAACAAAGGAGGAAATGATAAATAACTAAAAGATTGTCCCATTTTTATTTTTCCTAGCAAAATAATTCTACTTATTTAGTAGTCCATCTAATGAAAGTGGCAACACGAAACCTGGTTCCACTATAAATGTTGAGGGAGTAATAAGAATAAGGGCAGTACAATTGCTAAAGCAAGGATACAACAGAAATATACCTCAACAGTTCAATCCTTATTTTAAACATGATTGCTAAATTGGTAAGTGCGCCGCTAATTTTATACTTTTTCTAAATTATTCTTTGGTAATATATTAATTATACCTAAAGTTACATGGTAGTAGTAAGTCAAGTTCTTACAACCCAGGGGTAACAATTATAAAAAAAAATGTAAGTATGTATACAATACTTTAACATTAACAAAATTGAAGAATTTCAAATAAATTATTTGCGATAAAAATAATTAAATAATGTGCCGTAACATGACATTTATACTTTTACATTTAGTATTAATACTATTCATTGTTAATATTGTGGGGATGTAACTAGAGTTATCTAGGAGGAAGCTATTTTTTCTTGTACTTCTGTCTTTTTGAATATCTGTCTGTGTTTTAAAGTGTTGAAATAACACCTATACGCTGATAATGGGGCACGGCATTAAACTATTAAGTAAAATCAGTTCCTCTGTTTTAAACGTCCTAACGGTTTTTTGGTCACGTTCTAATGAGATTTGTATGAAATAGTGACTTATGAGTTATTCTCATTTCAAAATCATTGATTTTGACATTAAGTGTATTAATAAAAATGATAGGAAAGTTGTTAAAAATAACGAAGTAATTTTTTACAGTCATACGTTAAAGAAATTTTTTGATATAGAATTCATAAAAACAGAAGGAGACAGATGAAGTTGTCTGCAAGTGACTGCACGGATGGCGTAGTGGTTTAAGCGGTCGCTCCGCCGCTTACTAATACGCTGAGTGTTGTGGCTTCGATCTCTACATGGGACAACACTTTGTGTGATCCACAAATTGTTGTTCTGGGTCTAGGTGCTTTTTGTGTCTGTTTCATGCATGTTTGTAAGTTCCCCGCGACGCAGGATATATTCCTAAAGTTCCCGAGTTGTCTTTTAAAAGATTTAAAAAAATATATATTACCTGTTAAAATCGGGTTTACACGTAAACTATGAAAGTACCTATTGTTGCGTAGTCCACACATTTAACAAATTTTCAAAAGGCATTACATTAAAATAGTAGGTTTGGGTATTATTTAAAAAACAGGATTTGAAAAAAAAAACCACTGCCATTTCGGTTAAGTTACACAATTCAATGTTTTTAATAAAACAAATAGGGTTTTAAGACTTAATGGGTTAATCTAAAAATCGGATAAGTTGATTTAGGTCTGAAAATTTAAGTTTATATATATTATTACATGAAGTAAACTTTGTGTACCTTTTTTTTTAAACAACTATGTTACGGACACGCGAGCATAATATTTTATTTGAAATATTTAGGTAATGTAAATATGTAAAAAGAAGTGCTAAAAGATATTAACAGTAGATAGTTAAAAGTTTACGCTTTTAAATACCTACTGTTGTTAAAATCTCCAGTATGTATTTTTTTCTGTCATGGTATAAAAAATTACAATTCAAATTATACTGGTAGGACATTAAAACCGTCGAAAAGATACATTAATACGCGAATTAGCGTATCTAAATGCAAACTTGAAATAACACATCATACATTCTGTAGGGTCTTTGAAAAGTATTTCCGTCCCTGGAGAATTTGTCTAGCCAATTAACTTCTTAATCACGTGATAACGCATATTATTTTAACATGGAGCAAAGGTGACTAATCTAGTAACCTAAATGCCAATGGGTGATTTCACCTCTAATCTGATTTCTTTATTAAAGTTTCAAAATGTATGTCAAATTAAGATGAATTTCAGATCACTTCGGGACTACTAATAACTCCAAGTTATCCAGTGTTATTTTTTTTTGTTTTTAAATTCAATAATTGACCTGTGGGTCAAGTGGTTAGTGATTCTGCCTACTAAGCTGAGGTTGTGGGTTCGATTCCCACCCAGAACAAATAATAAGGTGATGAGCAACCATCATTTGTTCTGTAACTGGGTATAATTTAACTATAATATTATGTATGTATTTAGAAATATGTACGTGTGTTTATCAGTCTGGTTACCATAGCATAGGCTCTGCCTAGCTTGGAGTCAGACTGCCGTGTGTGAGATGCATGAAGTTATTATTATAATTAATAAGAAATCCCTTATTTCAAAAGTTATATGGTTATCTTATCAGTAAAATCGTTGCATGTGTTATTACTACGAGTATGATTATTTTATGTACCTGACGTTTACTTGTCAATACATATATGATATAATATATATAAAAAAATATAATAAGAGTAGAGTAGTGTAACGCCGCCTTTGTTAAACAGCGCTTTTACACTTTAACCAGATACTTTTGCCTCGCCGCTTCCTACTGCGCTGAATGTTGTGGGTTCGATCCCCACATTGGACAACACTTTATGTTATCCACAAATTTGTTGTTCGGAGTCTAGGCGTTTTTGTGTGTATTTATGTTTGTAAGTAATCCCCACACAGGATTATATTTCTAGTGCTGGAGTTGTCTGGAGTGGTGAAAAATAATTTAAATGTTAAATTCAAATTGCAGATGGTCTTATTTGCTGTCCTTGCACTGGCTTTGGCAATTCCGCAATATTATCCTGGTTATAATGGATACTCTGGATATGGTGGATACAGTGGATACAGTTCTTATGCATCGCCCTATTCTGGCTATTACAACCCTGGCTATGGATCTTATGGTACTTATGGAGCCTCTCCATATAGTTATGGATACGGATACTATTGATATCGATTACGATTGAATGCCCGACAGTATCTTGCGACATAAGTTTTTTTAAGCCGTTGTTACACTATGTGTATACAAACTTATATATATTATGTAAAAGAAGTATTTTTTTATTTTCTTATCTTATATTTATTTTTTAACTGCAGTTAAGTTTACTATTCCGTTTACGAAGTGATTAATTAATACATATACCCAAAAAACAATTGTACTATTATTGTGAAATAAATTGATTACAACAGTTATGTACAGAGTATTATTGGAGTAATGCAAATGCCCTGATCCAGCGCCGCCACCGCGCCGTCGGAATTCACACATGACTTTTTATAATTGAATCCGGTTCAGAAGAAACTAGTGTTCTTGATAAGTATGTTATTATATTTTTAATAATAGAGAAAGATAAAATGATTCTAACTCTTATTCAGAAAATAAGACCGCATCTACCAATCTATACTAATATTATAAATCTGAAGAGTTTGTTTGTTTGTTTGTTTGTTTGTTTGTTTGAACGCGCTAATCTCAGGAACTACTGGTCCGATTTGAAAAATTCTTTCAGTGTTAGATAGCCCATTTATCGAGGAAGGCTATAGGCTATATATCATCACGCTAAGACCAATAGGAGCGGAGCACCAATGAAGAATGTTTCAAAAACGGAGAAAATTTATTACTATTGAGAGACGCAGACGAAGTTGCGCGGGTCAGCTAGTATTTATATATAACTCTGATTAAATACATTTCACACAATAATTAAAAGAGGAATCGAAGCCGGTGATTGATTTTGGATTTTTTAGGAGCATTTATTGCATTTATATTTTCTCTGATATTTGATTTATTTTGTCCGCAACGCCATTATTTAGAACATTTGACGGGCCTGTTGGTCTAGTGGTTAGTGACCCTGACTGCTAAGCCGTAGTTCGTGGGTTCGATTCCCACCACGACAAATATTGTGAGATGAGCATGGTCATTTGTCCTGTGCCTGGGTGTAATTTATCTAAAATATGTATGTATTAAGAATTATGTATATAAGTATGTTTATCAGTAGTCTGGTTACCATAGAACAGGCTCAGGGATTATAAGAGTGTGAGATATATTATTATTGTTTTAACGAGAAAAAAGTTATTCAGCGTAGAGAAAACTCAAGATTGAATAAATACACCTTGAGTGGTTTTATCCTGAATGGTAACCTACATCTCTTTGTGTTGTAAATTCTAGTCCACTATTGCCCATTGTTTTGTTATTTTTTACCTCGTGGTTGAGGTTACCGGAGCTCCAAACTACCCCCTCCTAATCCTGGAGGATGGGGAGGTTGCAGGTCAGGCGATCATTTTCACTATCTGCTTTGTAAGACGTCATTTGCTGTAATTATGGGGTCTCTTAAATATATGTGTTTAGGCGATATCCGACGAGTTCAGATACGATGGAGGCTTTTTTTAGGGAGTGAAGAATTTTTGTAAGTATTGTGTGTGTGACTTTTACCTGTAACACTCAAGTGAGTTAAGTATATATCTAAAACAAATATGTCAATTTTTGTTTATTAAACTATTAAAGATCACCTTAGTTAAAGTACATCGAGTAGTCCTGGCAACAATATGGCTTAGGCTACCGCTAATACAACTCAAACACTTCCTATGATTAACACAATTTATATAAAAAACGCATGTATGTTATATTTAATACGTAGTAAGTCAATGTAACGTACGTAGAGTGTTTTAGTTTATTATTAACTTAAGCTTTCATTGGCGTATAACTCCATTTCAAATTAAATTATTTGTGACGTTAGCCAATTACATTGTGTTATTTATTGTGTTACCTTTTTTCTAAGGAGAGGCCTATGGTCCAGCAGTGGACTATTAAAGGCTGTTGATGTGATTTATAAAAAAAAAAAATCTTTGAAGACAACTAAAGCACTACGTAATAATACATACGATTATTATTTCAGCCTTATTTTATTTAAACAAAAATCGGGTCTCTTAAAATAATTGGTGTTACCAACTGAAAAATAATCCATTTTCTTAAATAAAAATATTCTTTGTGTGATTTTCAACCTGACCTCTATATCAAAGATTTTTATTTAATTAAAATTCCATTGTTCAACATTATTGGTAACAGTTAACATCAATACACCTTTGAAATTTCGATGGTTTCCTATTAAATCAAAGCACAGACTTTTCACAAGATTGTAATATGAAACAAAGCATTACCCATGTGTTTATATGTAAATAGGGCAGTCTAGTTATGTAATGAATAACTGGTAGTGGACGCGTGGTGATGGTTGCCGCCTAACACGGATGTCGTATAAGATGTACTAGGTAGATACATAAAGTCATTCATTGCTCTGGACATCAAGGACACTTTTTATCTAAGTACGGCATGACAACTTGTTAGGGCGTGGTCGTACACAGTATATAAGCCGGGACGAGCTGACAGAGATTATCACTTGAGACAATTCCCAAGTACTAAAACAACCATGTTCTTCAGACTGGTAAGTATTGATCAATATATCAAAATGTTTTATTAACTTAGTATATAATTTAATAAATAATTATTGTAATATATTTAAGTATGTAACTTTAAAATTCATTACCTATAATTTTTTTACCCTTTGCCAATGACTTTGAATATTATTTTTTATTAATGCTTAGTAATAAAGAATTACAGTATTTCTATAAAACCAATTCTTAAATACAATGTTCTCCATGAAGCCATGTATTATAGAAAGATCAAAGTTTATAAATTACTGAATTTATAATAATATTTCATTATTCAGTAAAATTCTTTTAAACTGTAAACTTTTTTTAAAGTGAGCTTTAAAAAAGCTTGAGCAAATGAAAAATTCTTTTATAGTACTTCTGTCAACTTTTTCTAACCATTATGTGGTAACAATTTGTGCCAGTTTCTAACGACAATTTTTATTTATTTATTTCAAGGGATAAAGAAATTCAATCAATTTTGTATGTTCATTACGATTTCATTTTTATTTTGTTTTATCATTAAGACGGAAGAAATAACCTAGTTAATTAATAGTATAGTAGTAGTGCATAAATGCTTAGGCTTTAAATGTAAAGCTTTTCCATAATAATATTTCATTATTAATCTACAGCAGGAGCACATTTTATGTGCAAAGGATTCGATTGTAAAGTATGGGTTGCGGATTTGATTCCCGTTTAGTTTAAATATTTTTACTTGATCTGTTTATTATTTATGTTTTTTTTTATTAATTGTTTACAATAACTTTTGTTTGATATCCTTATAACTAATATATCACTAATATATTGTTTGTTCAGCGCGATATAATGTATTAATAGTTCAACATTTCATTATACGAATGGCATTTCACAAGGAATTTCTTTGAAATGTTCTTTTATAACGAGATAACATAAAACGACAGCATTTCATGTCGTCATAGTCGTTTATCTTGTTAGTACGACTATTTCGTAACAAGGTGAAATACCATAAAGGTCCAGCCACCTTTATGGTATTTTATGAGCAGGTCATTTCAGGCACCAAAGCCTTTGTATATTGTCTCTTTCGGCACTTAGTGACTACGGCTAGGCTCCGCCCGCGTGTGTGTGGGTTGTGGCGGTAAAAAGTAGCCTATGTTACTCGCTGATAATGTAGCTTGCCATTGGTGAAAGAATTTTTAAAATCTTTTAAGTGGTTTACGCGTGAAAGCGTAACAAACAAACAAAATCAGTTTCACATTTATAATATAAGTATGGAATAGAAATAAACTTACGATCATTTGATACCTATTTAAATAAGTCTCTTAAGAGTTGAGTTGTTTATTTTTATCTAAGCATAAATTATGTTCTGATACTTGTGTTCAGAGGTAATATGGTCGGGCACGCCGTCATTGCGGCGGTAAGACCCGTTATGGAGGATTGGCTCGAGGGCGTCACGGGACCCTCTCATACCGATTGACGCAGGTGATCACTGGGAAGGGATGTTTCGGAGATCACCTGTGTCTGATCCGCAAGGAGCCAACGCCTGAGTGCCACCACTGCGATGGCCAGACCGTGGACACGGCTCTCCACACGCTGGCAGAGTGCCCGGCGTGGGTTGAGCAGAGGCGAGACCTCGTGGCGGCCATCGGAGTGGGAGTTCTCTCGCTCGATAGCCTGATTGCGGCTATCGTGCGGAGCGAGAGTGCGTGGAACTCTGCCGTCTCCTTCTGCGAGCAAGTTATGCTCGCGAAGGAGACGGCGGAGCGGGACCGGGAGAGGTTTAGAACTCTCCCGGCCCGCCAGGCCCGGGCACGGGCCAGGCAGCGCAGGCGACTCAGGCGCCGGAGGTCGCAGAACGACCTCCGTCCTCCATAAGCGCAGGCCTGGGGGTGACAGGTGAGGCCATCTGTCACCCTAGCAGAAGCAGGCCGGGGTGGCGGCGAGCGCGTTGCGAAGCGCGCTCGCTTCCAGGGAGCACAGGGAACATGGGGTTCCCACACGGGGCGGGGGTCGTCTACTCGTCTGTAGATGACCCGAGGTATGTCGGGGCACCAGGGCCTTCCTTTCTAGGGTATACCTGGTTCCCCGGCTATTAGTACCCGGCGAAGGCGTGCGGTTTTAGTCGGTTCGAGTCCGACATGCCACCGAAAGGTGGTATCCGAGGGGATTTCCGCACGGAAAAAAAAAAAAAAAAAAAAAAAAAAAAAGGTAATATGGTAGCGACAAAATGCACTTCCACGGTACTTGTTATCTGACGCTTACATCTTAACGATTAAATATATAATATATATCGTAAATAAAATTTAAAAAATAAATTGGTAGGTTGATTATTTTCGGATAATATGCTGTACTTTTTGGTATTTTTGCTCATCATCATGCTTTTTTTATGAATGCATATAACCTTATTTACTGTGACTATTAGTAAAACAGTACTAAATGAGTTTGAATTTACTCGTCACACCTGTTTCGCAATATCACCATGTCTAAATACTGAGGTGAAATTTCAAATCGATTATTCACACTTACATTGGCGATACACAATACTAAAATTTCATTATTGACAATAAGTGAAATTAGTAACGAGAAAATAAGAAATATTAAAAGAAACATATATTTAATTAATAAGTACCGAACAAATTGTATCATGGTTAATCAGATGGGATGGGGGAATCCCTTACGTTGTTGACCAATGAAGGATAAGATCGTCATGTCTGTCTACTTATATTACTGTTATTATCCATCAAAAGATAAAACTAGCGATGGTTTTGCAGAAATTGCGTCATCACAACAGCAAAAGTTGTGCATTTGAGCAATTTCTGAAGCACAGTGGTTTTTGTTAAGAGAATTATAAGATTGTGAGTAGTAAAGAATTAGTAATTTCGGAAAAGTGCGCGAGTATTTTATACAATAAATGCGACATTATTATGAATACCAAGGGCACAAATAGGTATTTGTTTTACATTAATTTACACATTAAGCTTTACATTAATAAGTTTGATCCTTGACGAAGGACATAGGCTGATTTTTCACGGGATAACCGCGTTTAAAAGCTGGTATACAAATAAAGCAGTTCGCAGTATAAACCTCGTATCATTTTAAAACAAGCAAAGCAAAACACGCTCACATTATTTACAATTTTTTTTTTTACAGTTCTTACTGTTCGCCGTGTTGGCTGTTGCCTTCGCCAACCCCAAACCTGAACCTCAGGTGTTGGCCTACACCGCTGCAGGCTACCCCGTTGCTTACAGTGGATATGGTGCTGCTCCTCTTGCCTACTCTGCTGGCTACGCTCCCTACCCATATGGTTACTCTGCATACTTCGTCCGTTAATAAAACACGAAACCTAATAATCATCTCTGCTCAACTGGAAACGATTTGCCAAATGTTTTAATATAACTTTTAAGCAACATACTATGTTTGTTTCACTTAAATATCATTTTTATATTATATTACGTTATCACATAATTGAGATCTTGTAAACGGAAACACTGTGATTGACATATATTTTACACATCTAAAAACACGTACCAACACATGACAAAATAATTAGCTAAACATGTTACACATGTAAATAAACATGTAAGCGTAATCTCAACCAATAATCTCAAGATGTGTTCATTGTGGTGTGCATCACTTACACTCTATAAAACTCGTTTCTACACTTATACATTACTTCATTTAAAAACTATTGTAAATTTATTATAGAACTTTGCTTGTGTTTGAATAATATAGTTAATTTAACATTATGTGCGATGGAGTCCATAGATCGTAGTGATATGAGAGACATCATGGCAAAGTCGAATGCAACGAGTTTTAATCCCGACCTTGCACGACCTTTTTTTTTTGATAACCTTATTATTTTGTTTCAAGTATCAGGTTTTTGAGACAATTAAATAGAAAAAGATGTCATTAAAGGGTACTAGATAATTTTGTTAATTAAGAATAAATTAATATAAGAATCAGAAGTTACAAAAAAAAGAAACATTTACCACAGGAGTCCGAACTCATCAACTTATCGATCTCTTTAAATTATATGAATAATTAATAGCTTCAAGCATGAGCTTGGCCTTCTTGATGTCTCGAACACAAGGCAAAGCGACTGCACATCCACTAGAACAGTCAAACCGGTATTCAAATTGATCTGATAAATTAAACACCAGTTTATATAAGTAGATTACATTGTTATAGTGATTACACTATGTTGTTAATATGTTTGAAACATACTTTTAAAAAAAATGATGTGATTGATTGGTCAGTTAATAACATAACTAGCTCACCCGCGTAACTTCATCTGCTTCTTCTTCCTATTGGTCGTAGCATGATGTTTAATAACCTATATCCTTCCTCGATAAAAGGGCTATCCCACACTAAAAGAATTCTTCTAAGAGATTACTCTGAACATACAAACTGACAAACTTTCATCATCATCATCAACAGCCTTTAACAGTCCACTGCTGGACATAGGCCTCTCCTTAGAAAGGTGCTTTTTTGTTTACTATCCCATGCTAGACGGGGTGGTATGGGGTTTGTATCAAGTTTTCCTTCTCTTTGCAGTGTTGTTGTCCTGCGTAGTTTGCTCCCTTAGTCGGCTCCTACGACACCCAAGGGTTAAATGGGGGACAACCCGTATTCTTAATCCATCACCACACGGACACCAAACTTTACCTCTTTATAATATTAGTATATAGTACATAGGTAAGAACTCGAATTAATCCTTTCATCATTATCAACATTCTTTAACAGTCCACTGCTGGACATAGGCCTCTACTTAGAAAGGAGCTGTTGGCCTACTAGCCTTAACTTTCATCAGTCTGCCGCACCACTCTAATGCTACGTTCATATGCTTGCCAAGGTTTGGCAAATGTCTGCAAGCTCCAACCCTTTACAAACGTTTAAATGCCATTTATACGCTTGCGAGTATGTAAGTTGTGTTGAAGTTGTGTCGGCTATTGCGTTTTGGCTTGGTATATTTTTATTCAGGAATCAAAATTAAGTCCAAATGCTTTACTATTCAACCAGTAGAGCATTTGGACTTAATGTTGATTCCTGGCTGCTCAAATAATATTAAGTTGAGCAGTGGGGAAAAAGCGCGCGCCAACATGTAAATACGTCGCAAGCGCTTGCCGCAAGCTTCTTTTCATCTGTGTTCAAAAACCGACACTAGACCGGACTGACAACAAGCTCACGCAAGCCAAGCCAAACACCCCGTTCACACTGTTAGTGGACACTTTTCGAGACTTGCCAACGTTTGTCTTCCGTGATTCTTCGTTTGAGCAAAAATACATTTCTCCAAATATTGGAGATATTATAACAATTAATATTGATAACAACTAAAGAAAAAGAGATAAAGCAAGACTTTATGTATCACTTTACAGTTATAAGAAAATTATAGGACACGAACAAAATACAGATTTAGGCGGAACAGACATTTATTATGGTGTTACATTACATTCAGGTGAAATAGTTCTCTAGTCATGTCTTTGAAACCTTTTAAAAGCATCCCTTTTTCAGCTTTTAGTACCCTAGATTAGCATAAGCTATATGTGGTGCAGGATAGGAGGCGATGATGGGTCCATTGTAAGTTATGGGAGCTGGTACAGCAGCGTAGCCGAATGCAGGACCAAATGGGTTATATGCAATACCGTTGCTGTATGTTATTGGTGTTTGTAGGGCACCGGGTCCATGAGCTGGAGCAGCGAGAGCAGCCGCCAAGACCAGTAGAAAAGACAACTGTAAAAAAGATTTTTAATATTTAATTATTCAATTTTTTAAACGGTTTTATAATTAAGAAGACCGTAACTTCGTTCGGAATTTGCCTTAATGGTTTCGATTCCCGGACCGGGCCAAGTTTTATAGGGTTTTTTTCTAAGAGAAAAATAGCCTAACTTATTCCTTATATAGACAGCTACCTGGTAGTAAAATATTATCAAAATCGGTCCAGCCTTTTGAATTACCCAGAACAAACAGACAGACAGACAAAAAAAAATTATACTGGTTTTTAAGCATAGGTATTGTCCAAATAACCGTCTGAGCATGAACAAAACACTTCAATTTTATTTATTTGTATAGAAGACAAGATAAGATGCATTGAAAACCTCGGCTTTCTATTTATTATTGAATAGGTATTTCTTTAATTGCCACTCAAAAATGACAGTGACTACGTTTTAAATTAATTTGTGTTTTTTATTAACCTGAATGCTGAAAATCATATGATTAAACATTAAAGGACAATGGCAGGTCGCAAATCCATAATCGTAAAAGGTGACACTTTGGTATTTCAGAAAAATCTATAAATTTCGATAAAAAGTTCCGTAATATAATAATGCCATCACGCAGCTCTAGTCAGTTACGAGTACACGTGATGGTGAATATGTCAGACATTACATACTTAGGGCAAATTAGTTTTTGAAAAATAACCTCTCTCTTATAAGACTTATACAACACGTGGTGTTAAAATGATAAATCATAGAAAAAATATTTGTTAAGTTTACTGTAAATCAAATTTTTAAACGCTTAAGCTTTAGGTAAATATGTTTCTGCCATTGTTCTTTATTTATTGTTTGTTGTAACTCAACAAACCATCATTCTTGATATAAAAAAAAACAATTAATCCGTATTTACCTGTGATGTATAGGGCTAATTAAAGAGTTATTAATTTATAAAAATTAAATATTATTATTGAAAACCTTTTCTAAAATCCTATTACAAACGTAACGTCAGTGCATTCGGGCGTCACACCTCGGATGTAAGTTAAACACTAACTATTATTTTTTTATCATCTTCTTTGAATTGTTGCTCGAAAGTCTTTGGAAATACCTTTTTATTATGCAAGTAGGTTTACTCAATTAGAAATAGGCTGACAATATAAGATCAAATATTTATGTTAAAAAAGTCTACTTCGACTAGATATTTTTATTATAAATCTTTCTTGTAAAAAAAGTGACACAGACTTCATTGCGTCTACCTCATGGTGAATTGTTTTATACTGTATTCTATTTATGTTTTTTCTCAGAATGAGACGCACGCCTTTCAATTTAAAATAACATCATCATCAACAGACTCCTTAGAAAGGAGGTTAAAAAAATAATTTTATAAATCCGTGCAAAATTGACGGAGTTCTCAAATGATGATAAATAAGTGACAAATAAATAATTAGATTTTTATAGTACAAATATGATGTGTTAAGTGCTAATAAATTAATAATATTATTATTTATACAATTTTATTTTAATTAATTATGTTCAAGATATTTTTCTTTGGTTTATATAAATTAATTAAGTCACATAAACTTGAATCAATTAATAATCGATGAAATAATTTATTCTGTATAATTATTCAGTTAAATGCATAGTCCTTTAAATGTTACTATAATGTAATTTGACGGTTAAATTTCCTTGTAATGTAATGTAGAATACTGAATACCAAATGATAACAAATTTTAAGAAACATGCAGCCGAATTGAGAACTTATTCCTCTTTTGAAGTCGATAAAAAAATTAAAATATTCTAACACTTTCACACAACGTTATCTTGTCTAAACTAAGCAGAGTTTGTACTATGGGTGCTAGACAACTGATATTAATGCAGGTATTTTTTTGTGAATACATATACATATATTATAATACATAAATATCTAGATATGTTCGCAAAATCAAATTGAAATAAGTTTGCTTTGCACTAGTAAAACGAATTGACCAGAGTTGTCATTGTCCATCCTGCATAATGTAGGTAATTAAAGTTTCTAATCCGTATGAATTTTGTAAGGAATAAATCCAATTTAACGAACTATGTCTTACCAGTTTGAACATGTTGCTGGATGTGGCTCGTTCACAGGGGTGAATGATGCCCTACGAAGTACGGATTCCATTTTTATACTCACTCACTTTAAAACCTGTAACTGCATTAACATTGACCTTACCCTATAATTGGCGCTCGTTTATGAGAAGGGCTAATTTTAGAACAAATTTATAAAAAAACATTTGATGGAATTACTGTTGGAGTGCCGCATAATCAGAGAATTTTATAAAGGTCAATTGAATGTACCACAGAGTAAAGTATCTTACATACAAGTGGATAAGAATTCATACTAATAATAGTTTGAAATAAAAGGAAGAAAAGACAAGTATTTCGAGGTTAGACAGCAGAAAAATAGATAAACGATGAGATGATGATAAGCAGTGCTACACGTTGTTTAAAATGACTTTTTTTTAACCGACTTAATTCAAAATTTTCTAACTTCCCTTTTTTTAAATTAATGATTGTTTCTTATAAGGAAATGTAGGTAGGTTTTTGTCACATAATAAAAGTGTAGTCAGTTCAAAGAGACATAAAATAACAAAGGTAATAAAATATGTATTGATTATTAAGACAAAGGGAAAATTATTAACTAGTTGACGGGCCTGTTGGTCTAGTGGTTAGTGACCCTGCTAACTGGAGGTCGGGGTTCGATTCTCACCCAAGACCAATATTGTGTAAAAAAAAATGTGTTGCTTGTATCTTAAACGTACTACAACTCCTTAATGCCCGATCTTGAAATATTAAGATACAGTCAAGTTAACAATTGCTTTAACGAATATATATTTAAGATAAACTGTCACTGCGTATCCAAATACACAACAGACTTCAATAACTTTATGACTGAGAAATAGTTTGAAAAGCTGTCACTAGATAGATCTGCTTAAGTTTTCGAGTTTGAAATTTATTAGATGGCTATAATAACAATTATTGTTCAATGAAAGACAAATTTTTAACGTTGATTTAGGAACATATTTTGTTCATTTATTAACTAATTGACATGGTTTATAAATAAGAGAGTAAAAGTTATGGACCTATAAATCTCACACATTGGTTAATTTAAGGAAAGGAATTTGGATTAGCTTATAAAGTAAGAAGGCATCAATAAACTTAATAAATTTCAAGATTTTTATACAGAAATCTATAATGTATATAATTCAATTATTGGTCATTGAACATTACAGTTGGCTCTGATTTATTCGAAGTTATTACAAAGCATTGTTTTTAATTCATAAATAATTGATACAGTGACTTAAACGGAGTGTATGCAGTTATGCACCGACCACGCGTTTGGCCTTGGGTCTCGGACACAAGAAGCCTCTAGGCTGGATTCAATAGCTCACTTAACCAGTTGTCGCTACTCCTGTGGTAGTTACATAGAGTAAATAATAATTATATATTTTTAGCATAGTATGTCTTCTGTACTGTAGGATTATAATGATGCGAATTATAATAATCCTACAGTAATATTATTATTTTTAACCGTTATCGAGACAGTTGTACAAAAATTGTTGTCCATATCCTCAAAATAGTTCAGATGATTTATTTGTCTATTCGAAGTCTATATATCGGTATCCTCTTTTATTCACAATGTTCGTAAATCTCATCACCCAACATCTTCAGTGTACGTATCACCGATATGCTGATGACCTGCTGATGAGCACAGGCAAGGGTGGCGGACGTGGCGCGGGCAGTTTACGAAGTCAGTCTTAAATGGTTTTATTGCAAATTGCAGACGCAGTAGTAAATTTATAATGGACATGACTTTAAAGGGAATGTACATGTTTCTTTTTCAATTTACGAGTACTACGAAAAACTACTGCTACAAAGATGAAAATCAATGTACAATCAAATACTTTGTAATTGCCTATGTTGTGTATGTATGACTAGAGGATTTAATGAGTAGATTTTAATTTAGTTTTGCTTTAAACTTTATTTTGGGGAGGCATAGATTGATATCCATACACCCTAATCAACAAACCAAAGACAATCATAAACTGCCTTTGTTTTGATTGACGTCAATGTTTGACAGTTAGGGACAGGTGTTTTAATGTACTCTGTGGTTTGTATGGGTAAATCAGAATGTTGATTTTACCATTTTATTCGCAATTTTACGTTTTTTCTCTCCTTAAGAACCTTCCTTGCGCCTTAACGAAAATAAGAAAAATAAATTAACCGATTTGGTTGAGCCGGTCTAGAGTTTTGCGCTTAGAAATATATTTAGCAATTAATTTTTATTTATATAGATTAGTATTATGTACTTTTTCTGGTGTACTTAATAATTGTCATGATGGATTAAAACACCGTAAAAATTTAAATTAAAACACCCGACTCCGTCAACATAGACAAACCTCGCGCTTTTTGGGAGAACGCCATTATGATTTCTTAAGGCGTCAGAGTACCGAGCTCACGCAAAGTCAAAAGTAGTAAAGGATTATCGTATAATATTAGTTACAATGTGTCTGTATTAAAAGTGATCAAGACGAACAAATGATTTTATTTGGGGATGGTTTTATCCCCAAAAATTAATCTTTCCAACTTTTAAAAGATACAGCTAACCTGGAATTGATAGGAAGCAATAAAATGGATATTATTGAAGATCTAAATAACAAAGTATAATTTGTAAATAACACTTTTGGTTTTCTTGTAACCCATTCAACACCGACCATGTCATCAACAAACCAATAACAACATTGAACTATTTACATACAATGTTTCTATGTTCTCATACCAAAGTTCGATTAAAATCAAGGTTCTACGCCGAAAGTTAGGTCATGTAAATAAATCTCAAAATAATATCTTAAACGTGCACAACACATGGTTTGTACGGTGGTTTGTGCGGTGCTACAAAGTCCGTGTAGTGCGGATTAAGAATACAGTGTCACCACTCCTATTCATCCCGTGTTTGTCGTTAGAGATGACTGAGGGAGCAAACACCACTGCAAAAGAAGGAAACCTTAAAACAAACCCTACACCCACCCGTCTGGCCAGCGTGGTATAGTATGCCAAAACCTCATGAGAGGCCTATGCCCGGAGTAGACTATTAAAAGCTATTGATAATGATGATTCAATTTACGGGAATTTATAGTCTTGCTGGACTAAACTCTTTTAGTGCTGTAGCGGTGGCGATATTCGTTGATCTATTATATGAAGGCAGGCAACGGTTATTAAATCCCTCCAACACCAAGAGATGATCCTCCCATCCGGCTGTCATTTTTTTGTAAAACTGAGCATTTGTTACACTGTAAAGGTTTCTAATAATTATTTAACTCTGTTAACGCCATCTATCGGCGTTAATTAAAAGACGACAACCATCGTGAAGCTCGCGAGCGCGACGCGACGAACTTCACTCTCTCTCATTTTGTTACTCGCTTGTTAATCATATTCATATATACAATGTTAAATTCATTTCGCTATTAAACGTATTGAAAATCAATAATAAACGTATGTCATTGAAGAGCAACACCATTACGAAAGGATCCTGGCCTCAACATAAATATGGTCTTCGTAGCCGGATAAACGCTTCCACACTTCACGGAAAGTACCTACCAGCAAGAGAAAAAACGGTCAGAGTCGTAATTCCTTTCGTAATCCTTCAATTTCCATTCGAATTTGTATTGTACAGTGTTACGTGTCCCTATACGTCATATAAATTTAGTTTTCCTTGTGAGTCAATCAAGATTTCAAGTTTTTTCTGCGACGACGCGGTAACCGTAAGTACCTACCTTTTCCATTTTATACCGCCAAAATGAGTGTTGTAGAAAGAGAT